GCTTCGGTGAAGCAGACGGACTGTTCAGGCCCCGGGAGGGATGCCAGGCGAGCGGGGGGCCGTCTGGTCCATCCGGTGGGATAAATCCTGGCTGCGCCTCGGGAGAAGACGCTCCAGGGAGTTTCCCACAATGCTCAGCGGCTTCCAGGAACCCCCTGGAAATGAGTGGCCCAGAGGCAGGGACGCCCAGGTGACCAGGGCAGGAACCCGTGGTGTCCTGGTCAGCTGCCCAGAAGCCCTGTGCGAGCCTGAGCCCCTTTGGGATGCCCGAGATTGAAAAAACAACGCCGCCTTGGCAGGTGTGCGCAGTGGTTAGAGCATCGGCCTTTGCACCAAAGGGTTGCGGGTTTGATTCCCGGTCAAGGCCACCTACCTGGGTTGCAGGATCGACCCCCTCCCCTTCCTTCCTCTCTCTCTAAAAAGCAATGGAAAAACCCCCCTCCAGCCTGGCCCCTGTGGCTCAGTGGTTGGATGTCAACCTATGAACCAGGAGGTCCTGGTTTGATTCCCTGTCAAGGGCACATGCCCGGGCTGCAGGTTGGATCCTCCGCCCTGGTCGGGGCGTGTGGCCTGGGCTGCAGGGTGAACAGCAGGCGCTGCCTTGGCCCTTTGCTCTGCCCCGCAGCGCACCGAGCCCGGCTGCAGAGGGTCCTGGACTTCGGGGCCTGTCTCGGCGGGGGTTGACATTTGCCGTCTCCCACGAAGTCCTGGGCGCATCACTTGGCTCAGCCTGATCCTTATTTGGATCCTCCCAGCTGGACGGACAGACAGATCCGTGGAAGAGCCGCCTTCGAGGCGAGAAGGGCGTGGGAGCCGCCGAGTGTGAGGGGTGGTGGTGGGTGTGGCGGTGGCGGGTGGTGGTGGTGGGGGCTGCACAGCGCATCCTTTATTCATCCGCGCAAAGGGATCCTCGCTGGAGCTTTAAATATACTTGACGCCGGGGTCGCGTCTTAGACAGACCTGCAGCGCGTTAATAATTAAACAGAATTGGGAAATGCTTAGTTTGGGGAAGGCGAGTCGGAATCCTCAGCCCCACACTAGGAGCCCTCCCCTCCCCGTGGGAGTTTTGCCTGAACCAGGACTTAGAATCAAGTCCACAGTTTAGCTGAAACTCATCTCCTTGTTGTGGGCGGGGGACCAGGAACCGTAAGAAAAGGAAAGGGAGGCCCGGCCGGCGAGGCGCAGTGGTTCAGCCTCAACCTGTGAACCGGCAGGTCAGGGAATCCTCAGCCCCACACTAGGAGCCCTCCCCTCCCCGTGGGAGTTTTGCCTGAACCAGGACTTAGAATCAAGTCCACAGTTTAGCTGAAACTCATCTCCTTGTTGTGGGCGGGGGACCAGGAACCGTAAGAAAAGGAAAGGGAGGCCCGGCCGGCGAGGCTCAGTGGTTCAGCCTCAACCTGTGAACCGGCAGCTCAGGGTTCGATTCCCGGTCAGGGCACTTGCGGGGGTTGCGGGCTCCTTCCCCAG